TCATTCCATCATCACTGACACTATTATTACGCGACGCGCCACAATATCGCGTTCTCATCCCTATTGTTCCTATAACACTAGATTAATCAGACCACATCTCTAATTGATTTTGCAATCCATTTATTTTATTAAAATATTAGGATGTGAGTATAACATTCATTTTAAAAAAATGATACGCCCAATCGATCTTATAACTTATTTATTTATTAAACTATTAGATTGTGAGTATAAGTTCTATAATATTAGTTCTATATCTATCGACTTTATAACTTATTTATTTTATTAAATTATTAGGCCGTAAGTATAAATTTTATTGCATTTTTTTTTAGAAAAATCTCTCCGATCGATTATATTTATTTATTTTATCATCATTAGCGAGTAAGTATAAATTTTATAATATTTTTAATTTTCAAAGAATATCTAATCGATTTTATGGTTTATTTATTTCATTAAACTATTAGATGGTGAGTTTAAGTTTAGAACATTCATTTTCGGATCAACCAGAACTACATTCTAATCGAAATATTCTGCTAAATTATTATTAGCTTAAAAAAAGCCTATCAACGATGACAAATTATTTTTTTTTTTCTCGACATGTCAAGTTATCTTTTTTTCCTAAATATGTCAAGTTTTTTTTTTTTTTACGACCTTTATTATTTATTTTTATTTTTCGTTTTAAATACTTCGGGTGGGTTTATTTCAAACTTTGAAAATATTTTAATAAGCTATATTGCAAATAGAAATCGAACGATGCATAATAGTATCAAATGTTCGACTCTTACAAATTCTTTTATTTAATAAAGTTAGAATAATTAAAATTTATTATCCAATAATATAAATATAATCGTGGTATTCAATTTTCCTGTTTAAGATTTTTATATTGTTCAAATTATCAAGATACAGAGTATAATACTGTAATGCTAAGGTTAAAGTTTGATTCGCGATCGTTTAACATGTTCTCCGCGATGTGGTTTCGGAATTTCGGCATGGCCATATTGAAGAAATAAACTTATAATATCCTACCCAATATATTACAATAATGTACTTGGATATTTGTAAGCAAAATATTGGGAAAGCGTGTATTTAAGAGGTAATGTATGTTTATGTAATTCGAAAAAATTTGATAATATGAAGTTAACAGATGGTTGTCAGGGAAGGATTGCTTTAAGATAAGTAAAAATATAAATCAGAATCATGCATTGATTTGGTTAGAGATAGGAGATTATTTATCTCAATATGTATGCATACGCGTCGTGACTCTTTTCTCAAGAAAAAAAAGTCAAAATGTTAGGAAAGTTTAATTGAGAGAAAACAACTCAACTATAAGAAAAAAACTTTAAAAATATTAACCTAATTAGAAATCTATGCGTACCAGGGATTCCTTGTTGATGTCGCATCATAATTCATGTAATATTATTAAGTGTTACAATGTTGGAGCAAAAAAATCATTAAGATAAATTAAAATCTACCGAGAGTAAACTTATTTATAAAGGAGAAAATTTATTTCATTTTTTCTATGATTGTCTTCGTCTGGTTATCAAGAAAAAAATCACTTGATTTGGAAAATGATAAAGACTGCAAGTATTCATAATTTACCTCCAAATGGCTACATTATAGAACATTATTTTTAATGTAATTCTTTGTATTGCGTGCACTATAATAAAGCTTTCCTATTGTACTCACAAAAGAAGTAAAATGTGGAAATTTCTTCTGCAAGTATAAATCTAGCACCGCATAGGAGCTGCAAGCCACAGCACAGAATTTTAACCACAGTAGCACCGCAGTAAAAATTTTAACACAGTTTAGCAGTGCGAATTTGGGTTTCAACCATTAATTGCCTAATACGGTACAATATCAATTTCCTGATCACCCTATTGTATTCAAAATAATGGTTACTATTTTTATTCTCACTACCGTTACCTTTGCATAATGATCATTGGCCAGTTTATTAAATAAAGGTCTGGAGGAGACTTGCGATAACCTAAAAAAGTAAATTAATCAAAGCAGCGAAATTATGACACAATACATTTTAAGCTGGAATGAAAAATGCCTCGAAATACCTATACGAGGATTTATTGAGAAAATTTCGGACTAAAGAGGAAATATTAGTAACTATTATGATCAACTCCT